CAAGGCTTCTTGCCGCCCCGAGAACATCGGTTTCCCCTTCCTCATCAGCGTGCCGGAGTCCCGCCTCACCTATGCCCGCCTGGCCCAGCTGCTGGAGGGCTACGCAAGGTGAGGGTCCGGGGAAGGAGGGTGTTCCTGTCCCTGAGCTCAGCCCCGTGTCGGTCTGGCTCTGACAGCCGCCTCCTTGCCCAGGTACTCAGTCAGCGTGTTCCAGCCTCCGTTCCAGCTGGGCCGGATGTCTCCAGAGCAGGGGTTGCAGCCTCTGCTCACAGACAAGCTGGAGCCCCTGGCCAAGAGCAGCTGTGCAGCAGCCACCTCTGTCCCTGAGCTGGGGGATGGGGACAGGGCTTCCAGCCTCCTACAGGAGCCCCCGCTCTCGCCAGCTGTGCCTGAGCTGCACCCGGAGGTGGGCGATACCAGCACTGTCCGGAGCAAGGTCCTGGCAGCCAGGAATTCCATGCTGAGCTTGGATTCGGGCTTCTCTGAGCACATGGAGTCGCAGGGTGACAGCTGTTGTGAGAAGGAGCCGTCCTATGAGAGAGCCCTCAAGCCAGAAGGTAAGAGGTTCTACGGTGCTAACTGTGTCTGTGCCAGGAGCCTGGGCAGCCCCAAGGCAAAACAGGAGCAATTCTCCCTCCTTGGGGTAACCTCTCACCACAGCATCTGTTCTCCCCTCGTGATCTTGGTCTGGAGACCCTTGGGGATGTACATGACGCTCTGGGAGCTGTGTTTCGGCAGTGCTGCCCCACCTGAAATGCCTGCCTGCCCACGCTCTGCCTTGCCCTGGCAGGGCCCGTGGGGCAGAGCACAGACCTGACTAGGAGAGAGGCTGGGGTGTTGTGTTGTTGTGGGAAGGGTGGGAAGGCAGGGGCTGGCAGAAGCCTCCGAGTCCCGTGGGAGGACTGAGCCCCTCGGGGCTGTGAGCACACACAGCCTTTCCCTCGCTCTGACTCAGCTGCACGGGAGCAGCCTCGCGCTCGGCTGCCTGGCTGTCACGTTTCCAAACACTCGTCTCAGGATGGCAGCAATGTGCAGTGAAGGGGCAAGGCAGGCAGAGCAGCGCAGCTTGCCAGGGGCAGCCGCCTGCTAAAAATAGTCAAGGACACGGGGCACGTGGTTGTGTCCCTGCAAGGCCATAGCATGTGAGGTGGGGGTGGGGGCATTGCAAATTCTTGGCCCCTACGCAGGGCAGACAGGCAGTGCCACCACGGATCTGTCCCTGCCTGTCCACAGCTGCCATCCCTGGGTACCAGCACACTCCAGACTCGCTGAGTGCCCGCGCCACGCAGTTCTACATCAACAAGATTGATGCTGCCAACCGAGAGCACAAGCTGGAAGATAAAGGTGAGCCTGGAGCCCTGGAAAGTGCCACCTTCACCCCTCACGGCCTCTGGCAGGGTGGTGGATCTGCCCGGACAGGGTGGCTGGCACAAGGTGAACCCAAATGTGATGATGGCCCCAGGCTGGACAGCGAAAGCTGTATCTGGCACAGGGGTGGGCAGGGCTCTGCTGCACAGAACTGCTGCCTGGAAGCTCTGCTTAGGAATGATGTTCCCACTCTCCTCAGCAAATAGGCCAATTCCCTTCAACCTCCTGTATCCACAGAGGGGCTGTGATCTCTGGGTCACCTCTTGTCTGAATGGGATGCCCACCCACCCAGTGCTAGTTATATAGGTGCTACTGAGAGGGGCTGTGCCAGTCTTGTTCCCGGCTGGTTCCAGGGATCTGCTGCCCTGGGGTGGTAGACCTGACTGTGGGGCATTTGTCCCTTCCTGGCAGCACTGCATGGTCACTGCTATCAAGCTGGGACAGGCAAGACTACTCCTAGCCCCAGCGAGGTGACCTGCCCAGCCTGGTGGGGCATGTGTGTGAGGTGTGTGCCCCTTGGCAGGTGACACCCCCCTGGAGCTGACAGATGACTGCTCCCTCGCCCTGGTGTGGAAGAACAATGAACGCCTCAAGGAGTTTGTGTTGGTTGAGTCCAAGGAGCTGGAGTGTGTAGAGGACCCAGGCTCGGCCAGTGAAGCAGCCCGGGCTGGCCACTTCACCCTGGAGCAGTGCCTCAACCTCTTCACCAAGCCCGAAGTCCTGGCCCCGGAGGAAGCGTGGTGAGGAGGGCGGCAGGGTGGGTTCCAGCCCGTGGGCCCAGGCAGCAGTGGGTGTTTCCCAGGAGCTGCCTGGGCCTGTGTGCTGTTTCTTCTGGCAGCCAGCAGTGTTGGGCTGGCCTTTCCCTGTGCGCTGGGGAGGTAGGCCATAAGCCTGCAGTGAGCAATGCCAGCGCTCCACAGGAGCATGCTGCTCTGCCTCTGGCAGGGGAGGCTGAGACCTCCCACGTCCCCTCTGCCAGCCCCACATGTGGGGGACCGTGGGGCTGGGCCAGGCTGCACCACCTGAGGCTCTCCCCATGCCAGTAACAAGCACGTTCTTCCCCCAGGTACTGCCCCAAGTGCAAGCAGCACCGCGAGGCCTCCAAGCAGCTGATGCTGTGGCGCCTGCCCAACGTCCTCATCATCCAGCTCAAGCGCTTCTCCTTCCGCAGCTTTATTTGGAGGGACAAGATCAATGACATGGTGGATTTCCCTGTCCGGTGAGAGCCTGGGGGATGAAGTGTCTGGATTGGCACTGCCTGTACTGCCCTGCAGCTCAGGCTCTCCCTGCCCAATGCTGACCACCCCTGACTGTCCCCGTGTCTCTCCCCAGGAGCCTGGACCTGAGCAAGTTCTGTATCGGCCGGAAGGGCGAGCAGCAGCTGCCCATGTATG